TTGCACATCACAACACTTAAGTCAACTACAATACCACCTATGTCAGAGAAGATAATTTGAGGTAGAATAAAAGAACATCCCCAAGGAAGCCTGGTGCTTGTGGAAGCAGTGGAAGACCCATCCAGGCCAGTAGATGTAAAGATTGGAAGGTCATCAAGTACTACCCATAACAGTGGCTAATTTTTCTAAATATGAACAGACACTTAAGGAAGGGGCATTGTTGGGTGTGTGCCAGGAGGTAGAGCTAGTCAATGTTAAGGCAAGAAATACAACCATAAAGAAAGAACATCCTCTCCCAGAACATTTAACTGACCTCTATAAGAAGAATATAGTCCATTTGTCATCATCACAGGCTCTTCAGGTTAGGGAACTTTTGGCAAATTATGCAGACATCTTTCCTAAAAGAGATCATGACCTTGGTTGCACAAACATTGTGGAGCACAGAAAAAACATAAGCAATCACCATCCAATAAAGATCCCTCCAAGGAGAATAGCTCTGGCAAGGTGACAAGAGATGGAGAAGGTCATGGATGGTCTAATCAAGGAAGGGATAGTTGAAAAATCAGATAGTCCCTGGTCAGCTCCCGTTGTATTAGTACAGAAGAAGGATGGGACCCAACGTTGCTGTGGGGACTTCAGGACTCTTATCAGTAAAACCGAGAAGGGCTCATACCCACTGCTAAGAATTGATGATACGCTTATTGCCCTAAGTGGAGCCAGGTGGTTTTCAACTCTGGACTTAAAGTCGGGTTTCCATCAAGTGAAAATGGCTGAGGCAGATAAACCTAAGACTGCATTTAGCTGTGGCCAAGGTCTCTGGCTATACTGTGTGATGCCATTCGGGCTTAGCAATGCTCCAGCAACATTTGAGAGGCTGATGGAAAGAGTACTGGAAGGTCTACAATGGAGGATAGCCCTAGTGTCATTGTGTTTGAGCAACATTTGATAGGAAGTATCACAGCTAGAGGAAGTATTCAAGCGTTTGAAAGCAGCAAACGTCAAACTACATCCCAAGAAATGCCACTTGTTCCAGAAAGAGGTGCTTTACTTGGGTCAAATTGTAAGTGAGCATGGGATGCAAACTGATCCTGACAAGGTGAAAGCAGTGTGTCATTGGCCAACACCCAACAATGTGGGAGAGTTAAGAAGTTTCTTGGGACTCTGTAACTATTACCGGATGTTTGTGAAAGACTTTGCAACTATAGCTACTCCACTACATGATTTGTCCAAAAAAGGCCAGAAGTTTGAATGGACAGTTTCTTGCCAGCATGCTTTCAAGACATTGAAAGAAAAATTGCCCTCAGCTCCACTTTTAAAGCTTCCAAATCCCTCACTGCCATACATACTGGATTGTGATGCTAGTAATGTCGGAATTGGAGGAGTGTTGTCTCAGAAAGTGGGTGAAAACGAACATGTGGTGGCCTACTTCAGTAGGGTCCTGTGTAGACCAGAAAGGAACTACTGTGTAACATGAAGGGAACTCCTAGCTTAAGCTCTGTGACAAAGAACTATTGGGCACAATGGGACCAGTTGAAGTTTGAAGATGGTATTCTTGTCCAGAGATGGGAAACTGTAGATGGGAAAGTGACGACCTGGCAAACAGTTATACCGAGAAAGTTACATTGAGTCACCTATGGCAGAGATTTTATTGGATAGGAATGAGGCAAGATGTGGAAGAATGGTGCAGGACCTGCAGTACATGTTGTGCTAAAAGCATAAAGGACGTGCTCCAATGAAGTTATATTAAGTTGGCACACCAATGGAAAGAGTATCCATTGACATTGCTGGTCCTTTGCCCCAAACGTGTGCTAGAAATAGGTACATTTGTGTGGTGATGGATTATTTTACCAAGTGGCCTGAGACATATGCAATATCAAATCAGGAAGCTACAACTGTAGCTTCAGCTATTAGTGATTTATCTTCAGATTTC